AAAAATTCCCTTTCAAAAGTTGTAAACTGCTCAATGCAGTCTGCCCGAAAACTTTCCCGCAAAGTGCTGAAAAGTGCACAATAGCACATTAAAATAAAGAATGCGCGAGATACATTTATCGTTATCATCATCAATTGAAGCTTAATTGGTAGCCGCTTTCCATTAGCTCCTTATTGTTTATTTTCAGTTCTTCTTCAAGTTCAAATCTCTTTCATTCTCACAATTTTTGTTCCCAGCTAAATGGGAAATTAAGTCCATTTGATCAGTACGTTTGTACTTTAACAGTGATGAGTTACTTCGTACCACCAATTATTCTCTCCTTTTCAGGAGCCAGAGCTTGTGTCGAACTTTACTTGTACAAAGAGGCAAGGAGCTGGTTGCATATGGGATTGGCCGTATCCTTTAACAAATTTTTCAAACGTGATACGAGGTGCAATGCGAGTAATATTTCAAGGGAAATCAATACGTTCCGGAGAGATTCTTCAACACGTAACGCACGCAATGTTCGATTCTCTTACACTGCACTGAGCAGTTTTAAGAAGCTAAAATATCCTTAAAGAGTTCTTTCGACTATTACACGGAACTTTGCTCAAAAGAAGAGTCATATTAAGTAATTCCCAGAGTTTGAGCTGAATACCCCTAATTTTTTTCAGACGAACATTACCATGACGACTGAATCTAAACCAATAGATGCGCTTCATAGCTAGATAAAACTCTCCAATAACTTGAAATCAATCCTTCCAGTTTTACGGTTCTATCTAAGACTCTCGTTGTTTTTTTTTAAATACACATTTCCACTACATTTTCGCAAATTTGCTGATGATTTATCGACCCTTGACACGTTTTCAGATTGAAAATGACAACAAACGTCTGCTTCAATTACTAAGGAAGACTAATGCTGAACTAAAAGTCATAGCAAACAGTTCTGCCTATCTCGGCAACGCTTATCAAGGACTAGGAAAGTTTAAAACAGCTATCAAGTACCATCAGCGCCAACTACAAATTTCTAAAGTAGTGAAAGATAAGACCGAAGAGGGTAGAAACTATTGCAATCTCGGCAACGCTTATCAAAGCCTTGAACAGTTCAAAACAGCGATCCAGTACCATCAACGTCATCTAGAAATTACAAAAGACGTGGGAGACAAGGCCGGAGAGGGCATCAGTTATGGCAATCTCGGCAACGCTTATCGAGGTCTAGGACAGTTCAAAACAGCCATCCAGTACCATCAACGTCATCTAAAAATTGCTAAAGACGTGGGAGACAAGGCCGGAGAAGGAATCAGTTATGGAAATCTCGGCAACACTTATAATGGTCTAGGACAGTTCAAAACAGCCATCCAGTACCATCAACGTCATCTAGAAATTGCTAAAGAGGTGGGAGACGAGGCCGGAGAGGGAATCAGTTATGGCAATCTCGGCAACGCTTATCAAGGTCTAGGACAGTTCAAAACAGCTATCCAGTACCATCAACGTCATCTAGAGATTGCTAAAGAAGTGGGAGACAAGCCCGGAGAGGGAATCAGTTATGGCAATCTCGGCAACGCTTATAGAGGTCTAGGACAGTTCAAAGCAGCCATCCTGTGCCATCAACGTCATCTAGAAATTGCTAAAGAAGTGGGAAACAAGGCTGGAGAAGGAAAAAGCTATGGCAATCTTGGCAATGCTTATGACGGTCTAGGACAGTTCAAAACAGCCATCCAGTACCATCAACGTCATCTGGAGATTGCTAAAGAGGTGGGAGACAAAGCCGGAGAGGGAATCAGTTATGGTAATCTTGGCAACGCTTGTGACGGCCTAGGACAGTTCAAAACAGCCATCCAGTACCATGAACGTCACCTAGAAATTGTTAAGGAGGTGGGAGACAAGGCCGGAAAGGGAATCAGTTATTGCAATCTCGGCAACGCTTATGATGGTCTAGGACAGTTCAAAACAGCCATCCAGTACCACCAACGTCATCTAGAAATTGCTAAGGACGTGGGAGACAAGGCCGGGGAGGGAAGAAGTTATAACAATCTCGGCAACGCTTATAAAGGTCTAGGACAGTTCAAAACAGCCATCCAGTACCATCAACGTCATCTAGAGATTGCTAAAGACGTGGGAGACAAGGCCGGAGAGGGAATCAGTTATGGAAATCTCGGCAACGCTTATAATGGTCAAGGACAGTTCACAACAGCCATACAGTACCATCAACGTCATCTAGAAATTGCTAAAGAGGTTGGAGACAAGGCCGGAGAGGGAATCAGTTATGGCAATCTCGGCAACGCTTATGAC